GCAAGGGCACAACTACGCGGGGCATCGAGCGACATAAAGGCTCCGCGCCACGTTGGACACATGGAAAGGCGGGGGGAACATCTGGAGATGATGGAGACATCGCGCTTTTGCCGGCGCAGTGCGTCGATCGAAAGTCGCGGCCCGCGCTCGACAGAGGCCCGCGCAATTGTACCAGCGCCGCCGCGCCCCCCTGAGCCACAGTCGCGGGAACGAGTCGGCCCACGCCCCTCCTAGCTCTCAAGCCGCGCGTCGCCTGTGCGCTCTGAGCATTTCGGCAGTGAGCTCTATGTTCAGGGTGTCTTCCCGGGCGACGCAAACTCCGCTGCACCGCGCGCGTGCGAAGACGTCGCCGCGCGGTTCCAATCGCGGCGCCAACATGGCCCACGCGGAGGTCGTCGCGCGCAAATGGGTCACCTCGGGGAACGGAAATGATTTCACCTTTGCCACACACCCTTCCAAGTACTGGCCGATGCCGTCGACGTCGCCGTCATCCGCCCCGCAAATGAAGCAGCGATCGAGAACGGGGCTGGGGGCTGTCACCGCGGCAAGTTCTGCGTTGGCAGGCTGAAACCAGCGAGGCACAACAGCAAGGACTCCAACCAGTCCGGCGCCGCGCGGGCCACGCGAGGCACTGCGCCTGCTCGAACTGAAATGCTTCACGAGTATGAACGTTTTGTCCAGGCGAATATGTTACCCCCGCGCGAAACGACGCGCTAATGTCCGTCTCAACAAGGCAGGGAAGCATGACAGAATACCGTCAATTGCTTCGTCTGAGATCAGCGAAACCACCAGCGCGAAAGCATCGATGTCTGCGGCGTCGTCTCTCTCCGGAGACGATTGGGGGGTTCGCGCTGCAGCCGCGCGCGCAGCCCGCGAGGACAGTCGACGCTTCCTGCGCGCCGGCGTCAGCGAGCGGGCACCAGGCGAAGCCCGCCGCTGGCGAGCCCTCCCGCGAGGGGTCGGGTCGCCAAACTCAGAGTAGTGCGGGCTCAGGAACGGGAAACCGGCAGCGCGCTGGTCGTCGGTGGCCACGGCGCCAAGGCGGAGGACAACTCGCAGGACGCAATAAGTTAAGTGACAGGCCGGCAAAGCCGAGCCGCGCCAAGGCGAGAACCTTTGAAAGAAAAACAGCTATGGTTTGCTCTGCGCTGAATACTGCGGCGACGAGGACTACTACTCCTGGCACTGCTGCAGACGCTGATGCCGGTGCCACGCTGGGCAACCTCCACAGGTTCTGTTTTTGCGTTTTCTGGCAAACCTGCTGTCTGGATGGAATCTCTGCAAAGACATTATCTGATACGCATAATACGGTGCATTCAACGATTCGCGCCTACATTTGTTATTGACAGTGGTAGTCCGCTGTACTCGTTGCACGCGAGGTATGCGCTGCGCTTATGTCACAACAACTGCATTCGGATTTCCCCCGCGCCTCATTGAAATATAAGCGGGGGGGGGAATCATATTCCATGTCACTTCCAAGCAGCGTCTCGCACTGCTCCTCTAGTTGTTCTCGGGGGGCCTGGAACTCTCCGCGCGCGCGGCCTGCGCTGAGGCGAGAGCGCCGAGCTCGACCGAGCGCGCGATCGGCGCCCATGTGAAATGCCGCAGTTAGTCCCCCCCCCGCATCTCGCCGAAACGCGCCCCAGGGAAAAGTATTTTTCTTTGTTACTGCCGACCGTACCCTGCGCGCGTCGCCCGCAGGGCAGTGCGACTTGCGCCCGCATTCGGCTCGTGCAATGGACGCGTGAAATGCATGCTGTCTCTATGCACCCTCCAACGCTTTGGCGGTTGTAAATATGATTCGGAAATTCTTTTTAGCAGCGCACGCGTCGCATCCATGCGTTCCTTCATACGAAGGCGCCACTACTTCCGAGGAGCTTGGGGGCACGTGGCTGTCCGCGCTGCCTCCGCCAAGACCACGCGCGCGATTCTCATCCGCTGCAAGACGGCATCTGGCAATTGCAACGGCACCTCAGGAGGGCGGCGCGCAATCGCGACGGCAGTGCCAGCGCGCGACCTCCATTGAGATCTGGCGAGAAGCACGACCGAAATTGGCCGCGGTGCTCAGGCAATACGGCAAGCACGCCTCCACGACTGGCCGCGGCCAGCCGCCCAGAGGGTCTATCTCTCTGGCGTCTTCCGATGCCATTGCCCGCAACTCCCGGGACCTCGTGCGCTGAATGGCCATGAGCTCCTCGATCTCTGAGATCACCGGCAAGTCGCCCACGAATGGCCGGTCGCCGTTGTCCAGATGCAGGCAGACCACATACATCGCAGCCACGCGGGCGCCGCAGCAGCGTTCCAACATCCACCTGTACATGTTAAGCTGCACCCGGTAATGATTTCCCTCGCAGTCTGGCAACCGGCCCAATGGAAACTTCATGTTCTCCCATAGGTTCTGGAACTTGGAACGTAAATTCTTTGCCCGCTTCCAATCGTATATGTACAAGCTGCCCGCGGAGTCTCGAGCCACGAAATCGATTGACCCAGCAGGCCCCTCGTGCTCGGCGAAGATGGCCCACTCGGCGCGGAAAGCCGCCAAACCTCTCAGCGCGCCCAAGAATTTCAAGAATAACTGGAACTCCACGGCGTCGTGGGGCACCGGAACGCGGTTGAGGTGGGCCTCGAACGTCCAGTGTTTCCAGGTGCCCCGCCTAGCCGCCTCTTCTTTGTTCAGGCGCCATTTCTCCTCGATCTCCTGATCCGAAAGAGATAGAGTTTCCATCAGGCATGCCAGGGGGGGGGCCGCCCTCGCAGTTGCCTTCGCCTCGGCGCAGATCTCGGCGTCGCAGGCCCCGTACGAAACAAGCAACTCGTGCAGGCGAGCAGCCTCCGGCGCGGCCCGCAGCGCCGCGACCGCGTCTTCTGGGCGAGGGTGGCGCCAATTATCAGGTCGCGGCCAGTTTCGCCCGTTCCGCATCTTCTCAATCACTGCGCGAGCGTCGTAACCAGTAGAGTACTCGTGTATCAATCCCGTGACTGGCCCATGCGTTCGCGCGCCGCGAACGCAGTAGGAGTGCGACTTTTCGACGATGTGCAACTGAGAGTCCCGCGGGTGAGCGTTGAGTCGCTCGAGTAGGCGAATCTTCGGAAGACGCGGCAGCTCGAGGGAGAAATCGCACGGGACAGGGGGCACCTGAGTGCCGGGCCATCCCGCCGGCGGCAACGGGCAGAACAAACGCAAAGATTTGCGCCGCATTGCCTCTTCTCGATTCGCTGATATCCGGGCCGCCTCCTGCGGCGCCAGCGAGCCCAACGACGACGCCGGCCCATCGGGGCTTGCTCGTTCGCGAGCCGCGCGCCGACGGATGGGCGCATCCAGCCCATGAGCTTCGATGATCTCAGAAGTCGTGCCCCATGGAAGAGGGCGGCTGCCCTCAGGCCCTGGCCTCTGCGCGCCGAGCTCCACCAACAAGAACACCCTGTGTTCCTCAACGTCCGGAATGTCGCCCCACGCTCGCCACCCGCGAACAGCTGGAAGGCATGCTCGGCGGCCAATCACAGCGGCGCTGCCTGGCCGCAGGATAACGCCTGTGAAGTGGCCCGCGCTCGCGGCCAGTCCAGCTTTGCGCCGCGGCAGCCCCCGCCTGACGTAATGCCCAGGGCCGGTCGGGCGCCGCGGCTGCCTGATCAGGGCGAGGCCGAGGTGTGACAGCCATTGGTTCCCGTGCTCGAGCGCACGGAATGGGCCTTGCATGCTGGTCGGCACGTCTGCCCCCCACGCATTCAGAGCCAAGCTCAGACACGCATTGGATGCGTCTTCCCCATGCAGCATTCCTCCCAGCGGATCGTCGTCGGCGCTCACGAAGCACCTGTCGGCCGCGGTCTCCCGCGATCCCCTTCCAGTTGCCAGATCGACGTCGAGTGCCCGTTCACTGCTGTCAGCGATGTGCAACAGCGCGCCCTTGACTTCCTCGACGCGGCGGACCCACTGCGCCGTTGGCAGAACATGTCGGCTGAAACCCCTCCACACGATCGCCGAAAGTGCCCTTGGGAGAATAGCCGCAGCGCAGCAATGATCCCGCATATGACAGAAATACTTCCTGGGCAAGACTGAGCGCGCACCCTGCCGCGAAGCCTGCAGGCGCACGACGGTCAGAGAGAAGCCGAAGTGGTCGGCGACGTCTGCGCAGCGGCGCTCCGCGCCACGAGGAACGGGAAATCGCGCGCAGTATTCGATGCAGCCGCAGAAATCCTGCGTCAGGATGCTGTAAGCGAGCCGGACGCAGTTTCCATCTTGCAGGAGAGCTCGACAGCCGCGCACTGCGGGCGGCGAAGGCTCTACCCAGACACCGAGCTCTTCGGCCGCCGCTAATTCCGTCGCACCAACCGGCACCTCGTCAAGAAGTCGCGACACGTCCCTGTGCCAAGCAGAAACCTTGGCCTCCCACTGCCGCTTGCCGACGCCAGGAAGGTAGGGGTCTGGGGTCGCGGGCCTCTCGTCATCTCCCAGCTCGCCAATGCTACCAAGAAGCTGGATGGATACATGCTCGATGGAGCGTTTGACCCAGAAACACATTGCAATCGCCTTCCGCGCGGGTCGGCGCATGCGACAATCGCGAGCGCTTCGCACATGCCAGGTAGCGCGCGGCGGGGCGATGAGGTGCCAGGGCGGCAAGGCCGACCCACAGGGGAAAACGGATAAATATGAAGCGAAGAACGCACAGGGCGGCAAAGCCGACCCACGCACCACGCATGACTTGAGCTGACGCGGCGAGCAACGCCTCAGAAGGCGCGCGGATACACCTGTGAAGGCAGATCTGCGCAGAACATTGAGGTAAACCTGGCTGTCCAAATTTATTCTGAGAGCGTATGAGGTCATATCTAGTCTGGTGATGACTGGATGCGAATATTGATTGACTTTGTATTTCCTGTACTGGAAGGAAGCCAACATGCTAGCAGCGCGGGCTGGCGAAGTGAAGGACAATGCAACGGGATCTGTTGCCCTGAGGGCCCCAGCGAAGCGAGGAGCGGTGAAACGGAATGCGTTGCCCCGGGCCTCACGCCATCATATTCAAGAGCGCTGCCAAGGGCCCGGCGCCGCGGCTGTCTTCGGCGGCCGCCTGCGCCGCCGGGGACAAATTCACGCGAAACGTGACTGCTAACCTCGAGTCTCGCCCGGCGAGGACGGCATCATGGATCTCTGCCAGACTCACCTCGCCGACTTGGCCATGAAAATAAACCGTCGCCTTGTCGAGCTCCGCCCCCACGTGGACGAGTGCGCACGATGGCGAACCGTGCCCGTCCACGTGGAGAAGATTGCGCCCCTGCTCGCGAGCATCGAAGCCCAGCTGCGGCATCATTGACACGCCGTGTGCCACGCAACACTCCGCGTACGTCCTCCCTTTCTCTACGCTGGCAGCACTGCTCTCCACGGACGTGGCGCCGGCGCAAGATTCGACGGACGCGGACACCCTGGCGTCGCCGCATCGCCACAGCGCCAGCAGAATACCATTGCCGGGCCTCAGTAGGTCGTTGGGCGCCGAAAGCGCATCCGTTGGCCGCCACGCCTCGCAGCTCGTCAGTGCCTCCGCGATCTTCGGGTGTGTCTTCTCTGTGATTTTGACTACGAAGCCTGTTTCCCTCGCGATATGGGCACTCGCGTCAGCGGCGAAGTCCGCCACGGTGGCATGGTTGGCGAGCACCGCGTCCCGGCTGATCCTGACGCCGTCGAAATGCAGAGACAGATGCTTCACCGGCTGCGCTAGCACCCACGTCTGCCACTGACCGAGGATGTAGTCTTCCGCACGCTGGTAGAAAGTCGAGAACGTTTGTCCCTCCGGCCATTTCCCTGTCTTCTCGCCGTCGCCCTGCGCGGCGTCGTGGCAGAAGCTCTCGTATACCTCGGGCAATGCCGAGCACGCCAGCCACCGCAGCACGCGGCTCACGCGTTGCAACTTTTTGGCGAATGGCCTGGCATCGGCGTCGAAAGAACGGGCCCCGCCGATGATCTCGAGTAAGAAGCGCCTGGCCGCCTCGGGCCCCATGTCCCGCAACTCGCTCCGCAGTACCTCGTCCCTGTTCTCAGCCAGCCGCTTCAGCAACTCTAACTCCTCGTTGAACAGGTTCTTGTCGACCATGTCCATTTTCTCCACGAGCTGCCAGGTGACGGTCAGGACCGCGCTGTGGATGTCGAGATCAACGGTGCCTTCCAGCATCGAATGTAGCGCGCGCGCCGGGCACCCCTGCGCCGCCGGGCCATCCGCGAAGCGACGGGCCGCCGTGCGTTGATGCGCGTAGGAGATGCCGCGCTCTGCCAAGTCGATGCCACCGCTGAAGCTCTTCTTCACACCGATGTTCCTCCTCTTCTCCGCTGGTGCGTCGGCTGGCACCACGGTCGGCCTCTCGCGCGCGCTCTCGAGCAACGCTTCCAGGGTGAGCTCTGCTGCCTGAATGGACGCGCCGACCGCGCGCAGATGGGCGTCGCCGCCCACCTCGGGCTCAGTTCCGCGTTTCTTCCGCCCGCGCGGCTTTGGGACGGCCCCCAAGGTCGCAATCATGATGTCGACGTTGTGCTTGCGACAAGCGTTGCCGTTCGCGTAACGGCTCAGCGCCGCGCGGTCCCACTGTTCCGGGAGCACGGTCGGCTCTTCCACGTTCGGCGCCGGCACAATATCATCGAATTTGCGAGTGGTCAACAATTTTGGTGAAAGTCTGTCCTTCGCTTTGCCATGCAAACCACCTTTCGACCATCCGGCGGACTCCTCCATCGCCTTCCACAGCGTCGGTTTCTTCTCCGGCAAGCCTTGAATCTGCCCTGTAGACATCTGCCTGAAATATGAAAATGTCAAGGCGTCGAAGCTCCGCTCGAGCATCTGATGGAGGAGTTGGCGGCGCAACCGCGCCATGGGCTCTTCCGCGTCCTGCGACTCGCCCACTCCGACTTCGAAGTCGACGCCGGGCGGCGGGGCAGCCGCGTTGCTCTGGCCGCCAGGCTTCGGCCTGCTCGGCTCCGGGAGAAGACACGCCTGTCGCATGCATTTCTCCGTGATCCCATTACCTCCTCCGCGCAGGCAGTAGTCATCTATCAGCGACCTCGATGCCGCCTCGCCATTTTTCCGTTCGAAGCCCAGCTGTCGTTGCAGACCGGCCGCGATGGCGGGCCCCGACTGCATGAACGGCTTCAGATCCAGCGCCCGCGGGAAGATGCCGTACTTCTCTGCGTCCAGCAGGGCGCGCCTGATGTATTCCGCATCGACAAGCCTAGCAAAAATCTTGATCAGAAGAGACCTCCGGTAAATGGCGTGGAATGCGCCCTCAGTGACTCCGTCGAAAGTGATGAACGTTTTTTAGCTCCATGCGTTTCCACCCGAACAGATATATAACCTTTGTCAAAATTTGATACGGGAGTCGACCAAAGATGCCGTCGGCAGACGCCAGTTTCTTGAACAAGTCCTCCCGGAAGCTCTTCCTCAAGCCTTCTGGCTTCTCCTGTGCCGCGAGAGCGATCGTGCCTTTGAGCGACTCCACCGTCTTCCGCATCTCCTCATCCAGGTAGAACACGTGCGGGTCGAAATACTTGTGGTTGGAGTGCCCGAGCACGGCGTCGAGATGGGCCGTCATCAGCGAAAGCCCGACGCCGCCAGCTCCCCAGAAGAAGAACAGCTGGTCGATGTTCAACCCTCCCTTCGCCAGAGCGAGGGCGGCCATGCACACTTTGTGCGCGGCGGCGTTTGCCCAGAACGTCTGCCTGTAGAACTGGTCGCGGCGCGGCTGTCTTCAACGCCGGGTCGCCCAAATAAGCTTTGATTTTGTGCGGTATGCCGATGTATATGTTCTTGCCTTCACACTCATTCGCGATTTGCTTCATCGGGGCTCCGCCCAGGTCGTAGACGAACGCGATGTCGGGGCGGGCGACGCCTCTGAGCGAGGGGCGCGGAGTCTCGCACCACTCGCAGTAAAACGACGGCAACTTGTTCTGAATCATCTGGATCTGTAAGCTTCGCCCAACTCGAGCAACGCTCACTGCGATCGTGATATACCACGGCGCACTGCGCGCGGCGCTGTCGTCCGCCGGCGCGTGCGCATCGCCATCCAGCCCTTGCGCCTCTATCTGCGAGAGGGCATCGAATTCTGCGGCAGATTCCCCCGCGCACCCCATGCCGCCGCCCTTGCCGCCGCCCTTGCCTCCTCTGTCGAAGATGGCGTTGTCGCGCCACGCGGCGAACGCCTTCCGAGCCTCGGGCCCGCTCTTCTCCAACGACCCCTCGATTGCGGACATCACGGCCTCGTCATCCAACCCGCCGAACCTCGCCAGTAAAAGACCGGAAAAGCCCTTCTAAAGTCAAGAGGTACTCCTTCAGGGCAGCATACACAATCTCTGGCACGAGACCCTCGTACTTCTCGAAGAACCTTGTATTCCCGTTCCGAAAATACATGACCCCGTCGTGGGCGACGAGGTAGTCACTGCCAAGTATGATGTGCATCATCATGACGTACTCTCGAACGTAGATATCGGATAGCCAACATCGATACATGACATACATGACACATGACATCGGATAGCCGATATAGGTGCGGCCTTGCAACGTGACACCCAAGCATATCGAGCGACAACTCACTCACTCACACACACACAGGCTATAAGAAAGCCCCCATCTTCTCTCCTTCCTCTTCCTCCTCGTCTGGGTTCCGCTATGTCCTGACCCGAGGTGGTCCAGCCCGTTTCGCCTGACACCTCCTCGCATTTGTAGGCTAGAGTTTGCCAGAATCTCAACGCCCTCGCACTCCCCCTCCCACTCCCCCTCCCCCTCCTCCCCCCCTCCTCCTCCTTCTCCTCCTCCTCCTCCTCCTCCTCCTCCTCCTCCTCCTCCTGGTGGACGCCCGTATGGTTTGCGGGGCCGGTAAGGCTCTTGAGGCTTGTGAACCTCGACGGGCTTTTGGCCTGCAAGACGGCACAAGATGGTTCTAGCGCTCTCCGAGCTCGCCCGAGAACCCCCCGAAACGGCCCGCCACAAGGGCCAAGGACTGGGGACTTTAAGGTCTTTGAGACGATATGTCCGCCAAGGCGCCCTTGCGGACATATCCCAACATCGCCCTCCTACTCACCCTCACCTTCCTTCTCCTCTTCTTGGCAGACGCCCGCGAGGCTTGCGGGGCTCGTGAGGCTCATGAAGCTCGCGGGTCTCGATGGGCATTTGATCCCCAAGATTACCCGAGATGATCCCAGCGCTCTGCGGGTTCGCCGCCCAAGATGGTCTCCAAGACGGTCCGTCATGGCCCTACGAGGGCCAACGACATTGGGCTTTGGGGTCTTTGGGGCGATGTGTTCGCACTAGCGCCCCTGCGGACGTATCCCAACATCGCCCCCCTACTCTTCCTCACCCTGCCCTCCTCCTCCTGGCGAACGCCTGTAACGTTTGCGGGACTAGTAAGGCTCATGAAGCTCGCGGGCCTCGACGGGCCTTCGGGTTCCAAAACGGCCCGATATGGTTCCAGCGCTATGCGGATTCGCTCAAGACTTTTTCCAAGACCGCCCGCGGCGGCCCCACGAGAGCCAAATACATGGGACTTGGGCGTCTCTGGGACGATATGTCCGCCAAGGCGCCCCTGCGGACATATCGCCCTCGTACCGTTCTCCACTCCCCCTCCTTTTCCTTCTCCTCCTTTTCGTCCTCCTCCTCCTCCTCCTCCTCATCCTCCTCCTGGTGGAACACTCAACGCTTGCAGGGCCCGTAAGCCTCGTGAGGGTCGTGGGCCTCGACGGGATGGGGAAGTCATATGCAACAAACACCATACCCAAGGAGCGTCATATAAAGTGCTCGTCTTATACAAGGTATGTGTTACACAAAGAATGTCATATGAGGAACGAGAACAAGGAAGGGCCTGTACAATGAATGTCATGCACAAAGAAAGATCATATAAAAAGGAATACAATGTAAAAATGATAGTCGGATACAAGGAACATCATATACACGTAACGTCATACACAAGAGCGCCTTTTACAGGAAACATCCTATACAAGGAACATCATATACAAGGAAGGTCATATACAAGGAATGTCATATACAAGGGACGTCATGCAATGAAAGTCATAAACAAGGAACGCCAGGCCGCCGAATTTATTGAATTGATTTAATTAGTTAATTCATTCTACAAGCATTAATTACAATAATTAAATCAATTCGGCTGCGGCCAAGGCTCGCCGGCATCTCCGACAAGGAGGCCGGAAAAAGAAACTAAATACGCTAAATGAATTGAATAAATGACGTAGACTAAATAAATATGGCTATTTTAATTTAGTTACTTAATCATGAGGGCCAGATTAAGAGAATCACATAAATTTAATTCACTCTATTAGTTTAATGTATTCATTTATTTCATTTATTCCCAACCCTCCTTGGTTGGGTATTCGTTTTGAATAGAGCAGTGTGGTCGCGTCTCCTCCCGCCCCCCTCCTGCCTCCTGCCTGCCTCTTCCTGTCTTGCCCGCGGGGGGCTGCGATCTGTGAAACATTCGCCACTTTCGAGGCCTGCTGGGGGGCCCAGCATAGAGGGTAATCGCGGCAGATCCAAATTAGACCTCGCCATTCCTGGGGGGCTGCGATCTGTGAAACTGTCGCCACTTTCGAGGCCTGCTGGGGGGCTCAGCATAGAGGGTAATCGCGGCAGATTCAAATTAGACCTCGCCATCCCTGGGGGGGGGGGGCTGCGATCTGTGAAACTGTCGCCACTTTCGAGGCCTGCTGGGGGGTCCAGCATAGAGGGCAATCGCGGCAGATCCAAATTAGACCTCGCCCTCCCTGGGGGGCTGCGATCTGTGAAACTGTCGCCACTTTCGAGGCCTGCTGGGGGGCCCAGCACAGTGAGGGCCACGCGCGGATTCAAATTAGACCTCGCCATCCCTGGGGGGCTGCGATCTGCGAAACTGCCGCCATTTTCGAGGCCTGCTGGGGGGCCCAGCACAGTGAGGGCCACGGGCAGATTCAAATGAGACCTCGCCATCCCTGCGGGGCTGCGATCTGTGAACCTGTCGCCACTTTCGAGGCCTGCTGTGATCCCCGTTTTCGAAGTGGCTAGGAGTGCTCAGGAATTGTAAATCATCAGCTTTATCAAGCCCTTTTCCTGTAGCCAGTGTCCTGCGAGTCTCCCGAATTCCGTCTGCAGACATATGTAACCTTCGCTCCGTCATCGCCCCCTTATAAAGTATCCTAAACTATTTGCGCCCCGCTTTTGCGCAGGGGTTGGGTACGTCGCCAGGGTAATTTATTTTATGTAATTTATTTTCCGGGCCTCCCTGGCGGAGATCCAGGCGATCCGCAGGGCCGCAGAACTTATCTTACTTATTCAAGCTATTTATTCCCAACCCTCCTTGGTTGGGTATTCGTTTTGAATAGAGCAGTGTGGTCGCGTCCCTCCTCCCTCCTCCTCCCTCCCTCCCTGCCTCTTCCTGTCTTGCCTGCGGGGGGCTGCGATCTGTGAAACTGTCGCCATTTTCGAGGCCTGCTGGGGGGCCCAGCACAGTGAGGGCCACGGGCAGATTCAAATTAGACCTCGCCATCCCTGGGGGGCTGCGATCTGTGAAACTGTCGCCATTTTCGAGGCCTGCTGGGGGGCCCAGCACAGTGAGGGCCACGGGCAGATTCAAATTAGACCTCGCCATCCCTGGGGGGCTGCGATCTGTGAACACTGTCGCCATTTTCGAGGCCTGCTGGGGGGCCCAGCACTGAGGGCCACGGGCAGATTCAAATTAGACCTCGCCATCCCTGGGGGGCTGCGATCTGTGAAACTGTCGCCATTTTCGAGGCCTGCTGGGGGGCCCAGCACAGTGGGCCACGGCAGATTCAAATTAGACCTCGCCATCCCTGGGGGGCTGCGATCTGTGAAACTGTCGCCACTTTCGAGGCCTGCTGGGGGGCCCAGCACAGTGACGCCACGGGCAGATTCAAATTAGACCTCGCCATCCCTGGGGGGCTGCGATCTGTGAAACTGTCGCCACTTTCGAGGCCTGCTGGGGGGCCCAGCACAGTGAGGGCCACGGGCAGATTCAAATTAGACCTCGCCATCCCTGGGGGGCTGCGATCTGTGAAACTGTCGCCACTTTCGAGGCCTGCTGGGGGGCCCAGCACAGTGAGGGCCACGGGCGGATTCAAATTAGACCTCGCCATTCCTGGGGGGCTGCGATCTGTAAAACTGTCGCCATTTTCGAGCCTGCTGGGGGGCCAGCACAGTGAGGGCCACGGGCGGATTCAAATTAGACCTCGCCATCCCTGGGGGGCTGCGATCTGCGAAACTGTCGCCATTTTCGAGGCCTGCTGGGGGGCCCAGCACAGTGAGGGCCACGCGCGGATTCAAATTAGACCTCGCCATCCCTGGGGGGCTGCGATCTGTGAAACTGTCGCCATTTTCGAGGCCTGCTGGGGGGCCCAGCACAGTGAGGGCCACGCGCGGATTCAAATTAGACCTCGCCATCCCTGGGGGGCTGCGATCTGCGAAACTGTCGCCATTTTCGAGGCCTGCTGGGGGGCCCAGCACAGTGAGGGCCACGGGGACCTCGCCATCCCTTCAGCGATCAGTGACGCCACGGGCAGATTCAAATGAGACCTCGCCACCTCGCCATGGGGGCTGCGATCTGTGAAACTGTCGCCACTTTCGAGGCCTGCTGGGGGGCCCAGCACAGTGAGGGCCACCGCGGATTCAAATTAGACCTCGCCATCCCTGGGGGGCTGCGATCTGTGAAACTGTCGCCATTTTCGAGGCCTGCTGGGGGGCCCAGCACAGTGAGGGCCACGGGCAGATTCAAATTAGACCTCGCCATCCCTGGGGGGCTGCGATCTGTGAAACTGTCGCCATTTTCGAGGCCTGCTGGGGGGCCCAGCACAGTGAGGGCCACGGGCAGATTCAAATGAGACCTCGCCATCCCTGGGGGGGTGCGATCTGTGAAACTGTCGCCACTTTCGAGGCCTGCTGGGGGGCCCAGCACAGTGACGCCACGGGCGAAACTCGCCATCCCTGGGGGGCTGTGATCTGTGAAACTGTCGCCATTTTCGAGGCCTACGGGGGGCCCAGCACAGTGAGGGCCACGCGCGGATTCAAACTAGGCCTCGCCATCTCTGGGGGGGCTGCGATCTGTGAAACTGTCGCCACTTTCGAGGCCTGCTGGGGGGCCCTGCACAGTTACGCCACGGGCATATTCAAACGAGACCTCGCCATCCCTTGGGGGCTGCGATCTGTGAAACTGTCGCCACTTTCGAGGCCTGCTGAGGGGCCCGGCGCAGTGACGCCACGGGCAGATTCAAATGAGACCTCGCCATCCCCTGGAGGCTGCGATCTGTGAAACTGTCGCCACTTTCGAGGCCTGCTGGGGGGCCCGGCACAGTGACGCCACGCGCGGACCCAAATTAGACCTCGCCATCCCTGCGGGGCTGCGATCTGTGAAACTGTCGCCACTTTCGAGGCCTGCTGTGATCACCATTTTCGAAGTGGCTAGGAGTGCCCTGGAATTGTAACTCATCAGCTTTATCAAGCCCTTTTCCTGTAGCCAGTGTCCTGCGAGTCTCCCGAATTCCGTCTGCAGACATATGCAACCCTCGCTCCGTCATCGCCCCCTTATAAAGTATCCTAAACTATTTGCGCCCCGCGTTTGCGCAGGGGTTGGGTACGTCGCCAGGTTAATTTTTTAAGCAATCCCTCCCCCCCCTGCTTCCTCCCTCCCCTACTACAACAACTAGTAGTATTAGCATGACAACTACGACTGCTACTATTAGTACAACAACAACAAACTTATTTTCTACTACTACTACTACTACTTCTTCTACTACTACTACTACTACTACTACTACTATTATTGCTACTACTACTACTACTACTACTACTACTACGACTACTACTACTACTACTACTACTACTACTACTACTACTACTACTACTACTACTACTACTACTACTACTACTACTACTACTACTACTACTACTACTACTACTACTACTACTACTACTGCTACTGCTACTACTGCTACTACTACTACTACTACTACTACTACTACTACTACTGCTACTACTACTCCTACCACTACAACCGCGCCTAGTACTTCTACGACTACTATTATTTTCACTTCTAACGCTACGACTATGTGATCCTTCTGGTCCTTCCCCTTCTGTTATACTCATCCTCATCAGCATCATCAGCATGATCACCATTATCATCAACATCCTCATCATCCTCTTCATTGTCCTTTATGCTGCGACCTGCCGGGACAAAGTTTCTTATCTTCCTTGGACCCCGAATTTTATGATCCCCACCCTGTGAATCTCAAGGGCATACGGTTAGCGGTATCGGCTCGAGTGTTGCTAAATGTGCCTTAGCCCAAGGTGCCCCCAGGATGTCCAAGGAGCCCCCCGCTGCCTCCAGAGCACCCTTCACGAGGACCAGAGGGCCCCAGGTGCTCCAGAATGGAGAGCAAAGCTGGGGGCACCTTGGGCCAGGGGCACCTTTAGCAAGCCCCGATCGGTGTCTTTTCGCCCCCCCCGCCCCCCCCCCTGGGAGACCTCCTCTCTTGCGAGGAATCACGACGGGAGACCCCCTATGGCGGCGTCCCTGGCGTCGTCCCTCGAGAATGGGAAGTCCAGTGAGCGACCCTAAAAATCCAAGCAGACCGCCGAAAGCTTGTGCTTATGAAGTTTGTTCAGGCCTCTCCAGAGGAGGGCTTCGCGCGCACACACTATGTGCAGCTGTACAAGGGCATGCGTATCGGCATTGTCAGCACTACCATCATGGTCCTTCTGAGTCTGGCTGTCCATCGTTCCTGGGACGAGGCCCAGCACGAGGCACAGGAGGCTCGGAATCTAAGCAGATGGCAGTCTCTGGTCCATTGTGTTGCTCTCGGTTGGGTGCTCGTTACTTTCCTTTTTTGGAGACTGTTCGCCAAGCGCATTGTTGTGAGCACCCTGGTTATGGAGGTCGCTGTTGTGACTGCAGTCGCAGTTAATATGTTCTTCTTCGCGTTCGTTCCGAAACACTACATGGCGCGAATCTTCGGTCATGACGACACGGAGGAAATATGGGACGTGGAACTGGGCGCCACCGACTGCAACCTCATACTGATCATCGACTTGGCCCACACCTTTGTGCACCTGCTGATGCCCATCCGCTGGTTGGTCCTCGTCCCATTGGAGGTGGCCGCCGTCCTGGCCTACATCGCGCCAGCACTACTCCTCGGCAGTCCGGCCATGAACCAGGTCCCCTTCAACGTCATCGGCATCGTCTCCCTCGTGGTCGTCTCGGCCATCGGGAAGCGGGCCGTCGAGCGGCAGGAGCGCCTCATGTTCGCCGGCCTCCTGTCGGAGAAGCAGCTGCGGTTTCAGGCACCAGGGGGCAACACTAAGGGGGGGGGGGGGGAGGAGGAGGAGGAGGAGGGGATGAGGAGGAGGAGGAGGAGGAGGAGAGGAGGAAGGAGGAGGAGAGAGAGAGGAGGAGGAGGCGGAGGTGGAGGAGGAGGGGATGCATCGGCCCCCAAAGTGCCCAGTCGTCGCCGATCCGGGCCCGAGAGCCCGCCCCGCCCGGGTCCCGCGGGGATTGGCCAATCGGGGGCTTGTCGCTGATCTTTGGGCGAGGTGCCTGTGAGTCCAGCCCGAAGTTTCCCCCCCCCCCTCGCCAGTCCGTCGCCCCCCTGATTCGGGCCGGGCGAAAGGGGGGGATTGGGAGAGGGGGGGTTACGAAATTTGCCACATGCAGCTGGTTTCGGCCTCACCGAGGGGCCCATTCCTCGATACACAGTCGCCTCCGGCGCCGGGAGGCGCGGGGAAAATCAGCTACGCGAGCTGATTCTCCCCCCCCCCCCCTTTGCTATCCCCCCCTTTCGCCCGACCCGACTGATGCTGGCCTCTCGAGGCGGAGTTCCAGCTGTGCAACAGCGCCGCGGCCGCGGGCGGCGGGCAGGAGGCAGCGGAGCAACCATGGGCACAATCGTAGCTCCTCGGAGCTCCGCGCGGATGCCTGCGATCGGCGCTGTGCTCCCCTCCCCGGCGCGCGGTGCTCCGAGGTGATATGCGTGTGCCGATCTCTGCTCCTCGAAGGAGGTCCAGCAGCGGTGCGGCTCCGAGCGATCCTCCGGGCTGACGCGCCCAGAGACGACGCGGAGCGCGGCGGCCTTCGAGAGCGGCGCCGAGCTCTCGGCGCTGGACAAGATCTGTGCGATCGGGGTGGCGGAGCAGTGGCTCATCGGCAGCGGGGAGGTGGGACACAAAAAACATCAAAACATTGAAGCGCATACACAACACAGTAGCAACCTGAAAACAAGACAGCAGACACGTCGCCGGCGTAGAGGTGGAGTTGACCGACAGGGTCCTCGGCAGCGGCGGCTTCGGCGTCGTCGTGATGGGGCTGTACTACAACACCCTGGTGGCGGTGATCAGAGGAGGGCGAGTTGGGACAACGGTACTTGGCCTTCTGGGGACCCCCTCGTCGCCACGGCTGGGCGCAGCTCGGACAACTTGTGCGTTTGGACCCCTGGGGTGGTCTGGGGACCGAAATTTTGAGCTGCCGTCGTCTCGGCTCGCCCTGCTCCGAGGTGAAGGCGCCGAGGGAGGACCTCGCGCGGCTCGGCGTCGTGGGCTCGTCCCTGCCCAAGCTCTGCAACGAGCTGAGGATCCTTCGGCGCATCCGCCACCCCAACATCGCGTTCTTGTATGGGGCGTGCATGGACACCGCCCTGCGCAAGTTGTGCCTGGTGCTCGAGTTCGTGGACGGCGTGGTCCTCGGCGCGTTCATCCGCGGCCCACGGTCCACCGCGAAGCCGCGCCCTGCGGCCTCCAGAAGCGCGTCTGCGCGGTCTTTGCTCGTCTTCGACATCCTGAGCGCGCTGCGCTACCTGCACTCGAGGCAACCCGTCGTGGTCCACGGTGACCTGAAGGATTCGAATGTCATCGTGGAGGAGCGGTGCAGCAGGGATGGGAGGAGCTCCTACCGCGCCAAGCTCCTCGACTTCGGCCTCTCGCGGATACTCACCCGCAGCGCCAAGCCCCTGGGCGGCACCCTGCGGTGGATGGCGCCCGAGCTGCTCTCGCGCCAGACCATCCCCCCCGACGCAGCCGCCGACTGCTACTCGTTCGGGCTGGTGACGTACTTCATCGTGACCAGCTGCCTGCCCTTCGAGGGCCAGCACGCCGTGCAGGTGGAGAGGCAGCTGAGGCGCGGGCAGCCGCCCAGCCTGGCGTGGCCCGCGCCCGTCGACACGCTCTCGCGGGCCTGCCGGTCGGTGGTCGAGCAGTGCACCCAGGCGGTGCCCGTGCTGCGCCCGTCGGCGCAGCAGGCGAGCCGCTGGGAGGGCCCGTCGAGACGGCGGCGGCCCGCCCTGGCACGTGTCGTCCCGTCGGGGCCTCCCGGAGACCTCTCGTCACCACGGCAGGATCCGCCCGGGAAAATTGGTCACTCCTCCTTCTTCTCCTCCTCCTCCTCCTCCTCCTCCTCCTCCTCCTCCTCCTCCTCCTCCTCCTCCTCCTCCTCCTCCTCCTCCTCCTCCTCCTCCTCCTCCTCCTCCTCCTCCTCCTCCTCCTCCTCCTCCTCCTCCTCCCCCTCCCCCTCCTCCTCCCGACGGCAGGATCCGCCCGGGAAAAGTAGTCAGGAGGAACCCGGGCGGCGTCCAGGGACAGCTTCTCGAGCGGATGCGGGGGCGGGCGGCGGAGCCGCCGCTGTCTCCGCGCGCCCTCCTCCGAGGTGAGCGGCGAGCTTTGCGCCATGCTGCCCCCCTTCGTCGGCGGAGCGGCGGCGGCAGAGGCCACCTGCGCCGGAAGGCCCGCAGAAGAAACTGCACAGGCGCAGGCTTCGGGAGAGCCTCGCGAATTTCGTGGGATCGGCGGTGGCCCCTCCCTGGTCACGAAAAACACACCAGGGACGAAGCGGAAGGCACCATCAACTGGGCTCCAGAGCATGGTCAAGACGGCCACGAGGACCTCTGGAAGTGTATGCGAAAGCTGTTTTTGGCTCCTTGAGAGGTCGGGCGGTGGAGGCACGAGGCCGCCTCCCAGCACCAGCGGGGCCACCACACCGGACGCCTCGGCCAAGAAGACCCTGCAGCAGCTCAAAGGCGCAGTGGAGGCGAGGCAGGCCATGGGCGCCAGCGACATCGACTCGCTCACGTCTGACATCAGCCCTGGGAGCCTGCCACCCGTGAGGGAGGACGCGGTGATGCTGCCGGGGGAGACCGCTGACAACTCCGCGGAGCCGCCACCCGAGGACCCCGCGGGCGCGCAGGTACAACTGGCCTTCCCAGAGTACAGGCCGACGCCGCTGAGCACGCAGACCCTCACCCTGGTGCTCCTGATGTCCCAGTGGAACGTGCCAATGCCGAAGGGGGCCTGCTGCTGGCTGCACAATGCCCTGCGCTCGCTGGACAGGGTGAGGGACGTCGTGGGAGAAGAAGAGGCACTGGACTGAGGGAGCTGCCCCTGTGCGCCCCCGCCCAAGTCTGAGTCCAACGCCCCAGCGGTTCTGAACCCTGCGCGCGGCACTCGCGGTCGCGCGCAGGCCAGCACCGCTCGGGCAACACGGGCGCAGAGCATCACAGCCAAGGGGGGTCGGGGCCGTCCTTTGCGGGGGTGCCGGGAGCGCGTCCTTCAGCGCAGCGGTTGTGGCTGTCTCTCCGCCCCCGAGGACGAGATCGGCCAGAGGCCGTGCGCTCGGCCGCTGGGAACGATGATCTGCGCTCAGTGCGGCGACTGCGGGCTGCTGTCGGTGGACGGCAGATCGTCCTGCGACTTCTGCGACTGCCCAGGTTCCTCGGGCGTCGTGACCAGCGCCTTTAGCTCGGAGGACGCGCTCGCTGTCTGAGCCGGCCTCGCCGAGCGGCCAGATGGAGATCGAATTCGGTTTTTGATCAGGACTCGCTGTCGGTCTCGTCGCCGCCGTGCTCCGCTCCAGACAAAAAGCATCCTGCCCAACTGTGGTCGCCGTCGGGCCAGCGCTGCCCGCCAGGGTATGAATGATGGGCACTATGACCAGTCCAGGCGGTCTCGGCAGCACTGCGGTCCCGGTCTGTTCGCCGACGGTGAGCGTTTTCGCGACCCGATCTGCGCTGGAGGCTGGTCTGGAGACCGCCTCTGCTTTAAATTAGTTGCGAACTTGTTACACTTGCGCGGTACCTTCATGGCTGAGCTCAGCTCGCCCACAGGATCTAATTGACACGGGCATTGTTGCATTTCTGGCCTCGGCTGATGACATGTTGCATTGGCCGATTCCTTGGCCATTTGATGCCGAGGGTGGTTGCAATCGAATAATTCGTGAGATGTCCTTTTCCTCTCTCCTTCCTACTTTCCTTCAGCCACTGTGTGTGACGTTTGTTATTCGCCTGACTTGTGCAAATGCGGAAGTCCAGGCCTGGATTCATGGTGGTGGTGGTGCATCGCCCAGGGTTTTCGGATTGCCTGGCCTGTTGCAAACACATCCCATCCGTTCTTTTTGTTGCCGCTTCGGTCTGCCCCCAGACTCCCACCCGGAGGACTACCCCGCGGACTTGGGGTAGGTCTGCACTCTGCGCTGTCCTCAGTCTCGCTCCAGCTTCCGCTGCTGCTTCTGCTCGCGCTGCTTTGCCAGCGCCGCTGTCGTCGATCCAGGGTTCCAAGAGGCCACAAGAGAGCCCACGTGCTCGCCAATGTGCCCGAAGAGTGCTTGCAGCTGATTCCAACGGAACACAAGATGATCCCAAAGACGTGCCCACCATAATTAAGGCTAGTTCAGGTCAACCCGAGATTCATCAGGTTCCTTCCCCTGAAATGTTGCCGTCGTTATTATCCTGTTCACCATACGCATCAAGATCATCGTCCTTGTTGTTGATTATCCATCTGCCTGCGGCCGATTCTCCAACGTATCAGCGGACCACTATGTGTGGCGACACTTAGACCTTCGACCACCGCCCCTACGGACGTCAAATGCGACGCCTCTTGAGGATCTCATGGGGCTTATTCGGGCCGTCCTGCGGCTGTCTTGGGCACGCTGTGGGACAGTCTTGCGGGTCTCTTTGGTCCTCTTGCGGGCGGCCGCGGGCGCCTAGTGGGCGGCTGCGGGCCACCTGCGGGCGCCTCGCGCTGCTTGCATCACATTGCCTACGGTACAGAGCATTCACCACTTGGGTTGCATTTCGAAGCTTACGCCGCATAGCTTGCACCACACGGGTTTCACCATGTAGTTTACAGCACATGGTTTACACCATATAGTTTGCACCACACATAACGTGCACCGGATTTCTTGCACAACCCTGCTTATACCACTTAGCTTGCACTACACATATGTTGCACCACATTGCTCGCAGCGCGCGTAGCTTGCACCACATAGCGAGCACCGCATATCTTACACACCCAGGGCGCGATAACTTACTTTTTAGGGCCCGCGCTGGCAAACATACATTTGTGGAACCTACAGTCTGATATTGCACTGGGCATGTGTAGACAATGTGGAGCAATACGCGTGGTGCAAGCTATATGGTTCAATCTGTGTGGCGCATTCTATCCTCTTTTGCTCCTTGTGCGGCGGTTTTTGCGACTGGTGCTAGGTGAGGTAGAAGGCTTACCAACCCTGACGGTTTCAGTAGGGAAGTCTTCTCCGAGCTGCGCAAACTGAGGAGATACCTGGTCCCTGGAACTGCGCTTCGTTTTGAAAGAGCGGACTCCCCGTAGATGTTGGGGGACTATTGGATGAGCGGATCAAGAGGAGGATATGAAGAGCACCAGGTCTCAATACACATTGCTTGCTTAACTTGCTGCGATGTTCAATGAATTGATCGTAATGCATGAGCGTTGCGCGACCGCGACGCACCATCTCCGTGCGTGAAGTAGTGTGCGTGCGCGGCCGGTCCACCTGTGCTCTGAGGCTGGACCTTGGCCTCGAGGCGGACAGGATCAGAATCAATACCTCTCTCCTTCTCCCTTCATCCTGCCCCCTCCACGACTGTGAACGCTGCTGTATCTCCCAGAAGCCGTGGCCAGGGGGATGGATGCTGGCGGAGAGGGGGCTGGGTTCGGGAGGAAGACCGGACACTTTCGTGCACGGCGGCCTGCCGCTGCACATGTTCCAATTATCCGAGACGAGGGCTGGTCTTTTTTTGTGCAAGAGCAGCCTAGCCTGTCGTTGCCGGCCAAGGGAATTCGGCAAACGACTGGTTTCCGCTGCCATCCACAGGACTGCATTCAGCAGTGCCACGCCCTGGAGAAACAATGTGTGGCGCATTCCATGTTAGCGCGAGCTATGTGGTGCAAGCTAAGCCGTGGAAGCTATATACTACGTGCTGTAATACAAGTCGTGCAGTACAGCGCATCCCCTGCGGTACAGAGCATTCACCACTTGGGTTGCATTTCGAAGCTTACGCCGCATAGCTTGCACCACACGGGTTTCACCATGTAGTTTACAGCACATGGTTTACACCATATAGTTTGCACCACACATAACGTGCACCGGATTTCTTGCACAACCCTGCTTACACCACTTAGCTTGCACTACACACATGTTGCACCGCATTGCTCGCAGCGCGCGTAGCTTGCACCACATAGCGAGCACCGCATATCTTACACACCCAGGGCGCGATAACTCACTTTTTAGGGCCCGCGCTGGCAAACATACATTTGTGGAACCTACAGTCTGATATTGCACTGGGCATGTGTAGACAATGTGGAGCAATACGCGTGGTGCAAGCTATATGGTTCAATCTGTGTGGCGCATTCTATCCTCTTTTGCTCCTTGTGCGGCGGTTTTTGCGACTGGTGCTAGGTGAGGTAGAAGGCTTACCAACCCTGACGGTTTCAGTAGGGAAGTCTTCTCCGAGCTGCGCAAACTAAGGAGATACCTGGTCCCTGGAACTGCGCTTCGTTTTGAAAGAGCGGACCCCAGGTAGATGTTAGGGGACTATTAGATGAGCGGATCAAGAGGAGGAGATGAAGAGCACCAGGTCTCAATACACATTGCTTGCTTAACTTGCTGCGATGTTCAATGAATTGATCGTAACGCATGAGCGTTGCGCGACCGCGACGCACCATCTCCGTGCGTGAAGTAGTGTGCGTGCGCGGCCGGTCCATCTGTGCTCTGAGGCTGGACCTTGGCCTCGAGGCGGACAGGATCAGAATCAATACCTCTCTCCTTCTCCCTTCATCCTGCCCCCTCCACGACTGTGAACGCTGCTGTATCTCCCAGAAGCCGTGGCCTGGGGGATGGATGCTGGCGGAGAGGGGGCTGGGTTCGGGAGGAAGACCGGACACTTTCGTGCACGGCGGCCTGCCGCTGCACATGTTCCAATTATCCGAGACGAGGGCTGGTCTTTTTTTGTGCAAGAGCAGCCTAGCCTGTCGTTGCCGGCCAAGGGAATTCGGCAAACGACTGGTTTCCGCTGCCATCCACAGGACTGCATTCAGCAGTGCCACGCCCTGGAGAAACAATGTGTGGCGCATTCCATGTTAGCGCGAGCTATGTGGTGCAAGCTAAGCCGTGGAAGCTATATACTATGTGCTGTAATACAAGTCGTGCAGTACAGAGCATCCCCTGCGGTACAGAGCATTCACCACTTGGGTTGCATTTCGAAGCTTACGCCGCATAGCTTGCACCACACGGGTTCCACCATGTAGTTTACAGCACATAGATTCTCTTTTCTACAAACAGAATAGGATCTCCCCCCCTCCCCCCCGGCGTTATCACTCCCCCTTTCGGGTATGTAAATCATGTATGAGTCTGACCACATGTCCATCCTAAATATGAATTTGCACTATCCCAGGGGGGCCGGTATCCCCCCCCTGAGGGTGCCTTGTAGAAAACACTGTGCGGTGATATTTTCTGTTTTAACATAACACTTTTTCACAAATCCCTTGCACAACGTGGGACGAAGTGCACACGCGCGCGTCGTCGCGCGCGCATGCCGAAATCCTTCAAACACCCTCGGTGCCGGAAGAATTTCGCAATCGAGTTTCCAAAAAGCCTACAAAAACAAAGGGTTTCGCAACACTGATTTGCTAAAGAAGCTTCCGCGCGAGCTCTTGCGAAATCTCACGAAAATCATAGGTTTTTCCAGATTTTCAAAAAATGCTATTAAACGGGCTTCGCGCGCGCGCATGCCGAAATCTGTCGAACGCCCTTGCGCGTGTGCCGTCGCGAGAATCCTCTGCAAAAAATGGGACGGAGTGCAGACGCGCGCGTCGTCGCGAGCGTATGCCGAAAACCTTCAATACCCATCGGTTTCGGAAGGATTTCAAAATCGTGTGTCAAAAAAACCTACAAAACACCAGGTTTCGCAACACGGATTTTCAACAAAAGCGTGCGCGCGCGCTCTTGCGTCGTCGTCGTCGTCGTCGCCGTCCTCCCTCCTCCCGCGTCGTCGTCGTCGTCGTCGCCTACGTCGTCGTCTGTCTTTCCTTGTGTTCGTCTTCGTCTTCCTCTTTGGCGTCGTGGTCGTTTCCGTCGTCGTTGTTGCCGTGGTCGACCTTCCTCCTCCCTCGTCGTCGTCGTCGTCGTCCGTCGTCGGCGTCTCGTCGTCTCCCTCCTATTTCGTCGCCGTCGTCGTCGTCGCCGTTGTCGTCGTCGTCGTCTTCCCTCCTCCCTCGTCGTTGTCGTCGTCGGCGCCGCCGTCCTTCCTTCTTCGTCGTTCGCGTCGTCGCCGTCCTCCCTTCCTCGTCGTTGTCGTCGTTGTCGTCGTTGTCGCCTCGTCGTCCTCCTCCCTCGTCGTCGTCTTCGTTGGCGACGTCGTCGTCGTCGGCGTCGGCGTCGGCGTCGTTGTCGTCGTCGAAGTCGTCGGAGACGTCGTCGGTGTCGTCGTAGTCGCCGTCGTCGTCGTCGTCGGCGTCGTTGACGTCGTCGCCGTCGTCGTCGTCGGTGTCGTCGTTGTCGTCGTCGAAGTCGTTGGAGACGTCGTCGGTGTCGTCGTAGTCGGTGTCGGCGGCGCCGTCGTCGTCGTTGTCGCTTTCGTCGTCGGCGTCGGTGTCGTGGCCAAGTGTCATGTGGTACGTACCGTCACGGTCTTGTCTTAAGAGGTCTTGCGACCAAGTTGCGGGTGGATGGGTGGGATGTTTGCACGAGCAGTGGAGAGGACAGCTTCAAGACGGTCAAAAATTATTTACACCATATAGTTTGCACCACACATAACGTGCACAGGATTTCTTGCACAACCCTGCTTACACCACTTAGCTTGCACGACACATATGTTGCACCACATTGCTCGCAGCGCGCGTAGCTTGCACCACATAGCGAGCACCGCATAGCTTACACACCCAGGGCAAACTAAGGAGATACCCGGTCCCTGGGACTGAGCTCCGTTTTGAAAGAGTGGACCCTCTGCAGATGTTGGGGTGCGATTGGATGAGAGGATCAAGAGGCGGAGATGAAAAACCCCAGGACTCAATACACATTGCTTGCTTAAATTGCTGCGATGTTCACTGATTCTATCTCGCTGCATGAGCGTTGCGCTACCGCGACGCACCATCTCCGTGCGTGAAATAGTGTGCGTGCGCGGCCGGTCCACCTGTGCTCTGAGGCTGGACCTTGGCCTCGAGGCGGGCAGGATCAGAATCAATACCTCTCTCCTTCTCCCTTCATCCTGCCCCCTCCACGACTGTGAACGCTGCTGTATCTCACAGAAGCCGTGGCCTGGGGGATGGATGCTGGCGAAGAGGGGGCTGTGTTCGGGAGGAAGGCCGGACACTTTCGTGCACGGCGGTCTATCGCTGCACATTTTTTGTGCAAGAGCAGCCTAGCTGGTCTTTTTTGTGCAAGAGCAGCCTAGCCTGTCGTTGCAAGCAGCGGGAATTTGTCAAACGACTGGTTTCCGCTGCCATCCACAGGACTGCATTCAGCAGTGCCACGCCTTGGAGAAACAATGTGCGGCGCATTCTTTGTAAGCGCGAGCTATGTGGTGCAAGCTAAGCCGTGGAAGCTATGTAACATTGTGTTATGTGCTGTAATGCGTGTCGTGCAGGTGTGAGCTATGCGGTGTGAGCTATGTGGTGTAGGCTACGTGGGTTAGCCGATGCGGTGAAAATCACGAAGTCAACAATTAGTTGCCAACTCTGCCCGTGCAAACATTGCACCCTGCCACCCGCAACTGGATTTACAAGACCCGCATGGCCGAGATTGCAGCGATTGCTTTGCACTGGCTGGCGCATCTCTGCAGCCGCGCTGGCACGCGCACCCTCGCGCGCAGAGCGGCGAGCTGGATATGATTGGCATACATTGTGAGGCCATGACGGCGCTTGCCGACGGAATCTTCTCAGCGTTTCTCAAAGGCAGCGTTGGTGCGCTGGCGCTTCAGTGCATATGACACCGTGCCGATGGCTCGGGTGGGCGCTGTACAATGATAGCGTCGACATTGCTGGCAACGGTGATGATAGCAGCGATGGTGGTAGCGATGCAGACGATGACGACGGCAAGGCCAAGGACGGTACCGATGCTGGTTACGACGATGACGACGATGGCGAAGATGTCCATGTGGCGGTGATATTTTGTTGGTGTGTTCCCTTGAACTTTCATGAGCTGGCGTGCCACCTTTGTTTCCTATCTCTCTCTCTCTCTCTCTCTCCCATCCCCTCTCCCCGCAGCCGCCTCGGCTCGGGCTGGCACTTTAGGGGCCAGGGCCTGTACGTGGCCGCCTGCGCAATGTGGGGGCTGGTGTGCACTTGCTTGCTGTTAGGACGGAAGCTACAAGGGAACACCTCTCAGGCGGCGCCGGCCTGGAAGGAGGCTGGGGCGGCATGGCTGGTCGTCGCGGCGGGGATGATTGTGGCCTCGGCCACCACCCGTTGGAGGGAACATCCTTTCTGTTAATGATTGCCACTCCCAGGGGACCAATGGGGACAACTTGGGCCTTATGATGGGACTCGGTGCCTTTCGGTTCCATGGAATCTGGGATGTGACGCCAGTAATTAGTATGAGCCCCAAGACTGCTGGGCTGCTTGCCTGGTGTTCAGAGCTGGGGGCGACGGTTGTAGCACCTACCTCGACGTTGTGCTGCAGGTAAGGGCCAGGTATACGATTTTGTTTCTTGTCCGCTGGGTTGCGCTCCTGTGTAAATAGGATCAAGGTCTGGGACGAAGCTCCCGTATCGCCCCACTCTCCCGTGGAAATCCATCTTCGTGGGGTCTCCCTGAACATCCGGATCCAAGTTAGGTGCATCCGGAAGCGTGTCCTCATTCAGAGGCCCACAGGTTGTGAAGGGGAGCCTTCTGAAAACAATTGGATTTGGTATGAAGGGGACACGGGGGACTTGAGACTGGTCACGGTCTGGGATCACTGGATAGATCTTACGGACCTGGAATTTTGCAGAGCTCTTGGTATCCAGGGAGAGGAACAGGAGCAGTACGTTGGCAGATCGAAGGGTTCAGGACAAAACAGGTTTCTCTGGACACGAGTGTCAAACATACTTGGTTTGCTAATGTACTACGGCGCAGCTCAGGGCTTGGAGGTCCTGGGTATAGCTACTAGGGAAGGCAGCACTGTGCACGGACGACCTGTCGGACTCCCCGCTCTGGCAGTCGCTGCGCGCCTTGATCTTGAAGCTGGACCAGAACGCTCTTGGATCGAAGTTGTTGTGCCTTGCGCCTACCTTGCCCAGCTGGTCATTGCCATAGAAGGTTCGGATGGTGCCGATCTGGGGTATATTGGGCCGACGGCCATCGACGTATGATAATTTCCTCAGGGGCCCTTGTAATAGACGTTGGGCTAAGTGGAGGTCTTGGGCTTCGGATTCGGTCTCTAAGGGCGGCAAGGCGGCGCGTGCTGCGCAATCCAGTTTCCAGACCTCTTGCGTCTGAAGGTTGGGCCCCACAGGGCGACCAGGCCGTCGAGGCCTAGAAGCACCAGTAGAGCAGCTACTGGTGCCATCATGCCTGACTACTCTGCCCAGATCAGCATCGCACTGCAGATTAGGACCCCCGTTGCCCCGCCCAGATGTTGAACTGTCGACATGGTCGCTCAGCGCGCTCAAGCACGATACAGGACTGGGTGTGGACTGTATTAGCCCTGCGAGCTCGCTATTGCTCCCGATCTCGGTCTTCGAACGGTCGATTGACCTCATGATGTTATGGGAGCGCAAGCCTGCGCTTCCCAGCAAGTATGCAACACAAATCATCTTCCCAGGCATGCCCGAGGGTGCTGGAGTGCGCCCATTGGCCCTGGCCGCGAGTGTCCTCTGAGCTTCTGCTAGAGTTCGGCAAGCCGCCGCTCGTTATTTGGAGCTTGAGCAGGCGGCTGGCTTCTCCTGGGGAGCTCGCGAGAACGAGTGCGACAGGGCTGGGTGGCAACATGCAACGCTGCATGAGTTTGCTCGGCTAAAGAAGCTCGGCTCGGCCACGTGGTTGAGTGACTTAGACGAGTTCTACCAGCGAGTTGGGCGAGCGATACTTTTTTGATGAAGCACGGGCGACAGGCCTGCACCTCGGCTTGACGCGTGCTGCGGTTGTTCTGTACACAGGCCCCCGCGCGATCAATTTCTTCGGCGCGGCGTCCAACCTCGTGGAGGCGTCGGGCGCCGTCCTGGCTGGATGCGGTCTTGCCCCTGCGGGCGCCAAGGTTTTTGCGCGCCGTCTATCGTTTGCGGCCGCGGCGGCGCATCCATCCCCCGCGATCAGGAATGTGATCGGCGATGTCTCTATTCAGGCCCTGCGGTCCGCGCCCTTGATCGGCGAGCAGGTCGGTCGGGCTGCCATCGCAATGAAAGAGGGGCTTGAGAAGTCGAAGCTTGTGCCGTCGGGGAAGAAAATCAAGTTTACCTCCTCCTCCTCCTCCAAGCAGTTGCCCACCGCGCTGGCGCCCAGGTTCGCCAGCAGCAGTCTGTGCGCTCTCAAGGTTGCGACGCGGCTGTTCAAAAGATCAGGCGGGGCCCTGCTGCCAGGCAGCGCCCGGCCAAGGCGGGGTGGGGGGGGGGCGACGAGGACCCTGAGACTTAAGAGTGTTGGGGCTCCTGTGGGCAACATCCAGAGGGCGGCGCCTCGAGCGCGCGGGCCACGGGCTTCGGCGGTGGCTGGATTGGCGCCTCGACAGATCCACGACGCAAGGTCGGCGGCTACTAGGAGCTTATGCAAAGGTAAACCTGGGGCATTCATGTCGTTCAGGCTCAGGTCGTTCCCTGCCGGCGCCAGTATGGCCCCCTGCGTGGTATGCCATAGTAGCGTCATATACCAATGGTGCGCGGATATCTGGGGCGGTCTCCCAGGCTGAATATTGCGCGGCATATTTCCGCGAAAGCTTCCGACGACCGTTGGAGAGCTGAGCGGCCTTGGCATGCGCGCGCGCCCCCTGTCCGCGCATGCGCCCCCGCGATTGCTGAGATGGGTTGGAGACCGATCTCGGCGAGGAAGCCACAGCCGCGCGACGTGGAAGTCATTGATCTGCCAGAGCTCGCACATATGATTGCCCAGTCATTCGCCCATCGTGATGCAGGGCACTGGGCTGGCGAAGGCCCTGAAGCAGCGACCGGAAACATTGCCGTCTGGTGTCGCCTTGTTTTATGGAGGGGGCCAAGAACGTCGCGTCGGGGCAAACCGCGGGGACCTCGACCAAGCACCTCCAGAGTTGCGCGAGACAAGCCTTATCCCTTGGGACCTGGGCCCAGGCTCGCCTCGAGGATCGCGGGTTAGCTGGCGAGGGCCTCCACCAACTGCGCCGCGCGGAGCATGGGCCATTTTTCCACCGGAGGTTTTGCTGCGAAGCCGCCGATGAGGACAGGCTGGCCCACTTGTCCAAATAATGTGCTCAGGCTGCTCGCTGCGCCCGTGATGCGCGCCGAGGTCACGGACAGCTTGCTGCCTGTGTTCTACCGTATCCAAAAGAACGGATCCCGCCAGCCCTTGGCATGGATCCGTGTCTTTTTATATAAAAAAACGGCTTCAGATAAAGTCCAGGGTCTGATTTATCCGACGGGTCCGCGGACAACCCCGCCTGCTCTTTCCGGAGACGAGCGGGGGGGGGGGGGCCTCGCGCAGGCGAGTGGCCGCGGTGATGTTATCCGCGCGGCGTTCGGACCCGTTCCCAGGGAGATCGCGCCTGGACAGCCGGCCAGGGATGGCGCAGATTTCTCGCGCAAGATGGCGGCCTCGGATCTCGAAATGCGCACTGACGGCGCCAGTGCCCTCGCGTGCGCGCGGGATCGGGCCGAGAGCGGCTCGCCCCATAAACCTCGGGCCCACATCTGAAGCAGCGTTTGGCACGTTTTCGAGAACGGCCTCAGGGCCAGGAGAGTCACGGGCCACGCGAGGGCGGCCCCTGCGCGGAGTGGCGTTTGAAGTGGGCTGGACAGGCTCGGCAATCATCGCGCCGACCGATTTTCGGAACAAGGGGCCGAAAAGGCACCCCGCGCC